ACACGTGTGAGCCAACCCAATTGTTATTTATTAAATTCCTAAATTCCGGTGGTCCAAACGCGACATGACACATAGATAGATAGATTGATAGACTAAAAGGTAAATTTCAAGTCGACCTAGCCTTCGGCTAGTCTGACTAAAAATAAGCAGCCCCTTAAAAAATGGCTTTTATAGAAATCAATGATAGATTTTGATAAATATTTCATACTTTGAACGTTTTGATGAATTTGTTGTAATATTATGATCAGTCGCACAAAATCTGCTCTGGCAGGCTAAGATGATATCAGTGATAAAAAACAAAAATCATTGGCAAAACTTTATGGTTGGCCTAATACAAACTACAGCACTGAATTCCCTTCAACTGAACAATCGAATACAGGTCATTTCGCACAAAAGACCGTTCGCACAAGTTGTTTCGCCCATATTTCGGACCGTTCGCACAATTTTAAGAAGACACTTCGCACAGAAAATTAAGTGAGCAAAATAATTTTATTGAGATTCTTACTGTACTATAAATAAATTCCTAATTACTAGTTTGAAATAACAGTGTTTCTGAATTTGTATACACAATCGATCGAACGCGGTACCGCGGTCGGCGCGTTTTTCTCTCCTTKTTTCCTMCCTTTGTTGTTCTGTTTATRCTGTTTGGTTCGGCTTTTTCTTTGCCATTTCGAAAATTGTTGTTGATGTCTTTCAAGTTAGACTTATTAGGATGAAATATCTGAATCTGAKTCCGCTAGAAGAAACACGCTAATAGAAACACGCTTAGGCTGGACAAGGAACAAAGTCAAAGAAAACTACACAAAAATGTTTTACTAGAATTTGTAGATGGCGAACGTTCAAGATTTTATTTCTTCCACTGTTTTAGAGGACGCTATTTCTTAATTTTATTGATATAAAACTTCAAATCTACGTAAAATGGCTACCGTGGTCGAGTAGGGAATAAATTGAAGTTCGTCGCCGGTTTATATTGAACTCCTTCGACACGAACTGGTATGAACAGCAATGCTACTAGTAAATCACTGGAAAAACAGATCCAGATCATTTGATTTTTAATCGCCACGATGTTGAAGCTAAATTTCAAGCATTACATATTCGAAGCTCAGGTGATGGTCACTCGACAATCGCGCTTCAAAGATATTATGGCCTTAAAAATGCATTTACAAAACTTTGCCTGTTTGTTTACAMCCCCAGTAGAAAAGYCTACCTAAATACAGCTTTTGACGGTTGATTTGGCACGCTTTTACTAATTTCACTCTAGTCTCGATTATCCAAGTATTTGGACATGTTGGAAATTTACAAATTTTAACCAAGTTGCGCGTAAAGTTGAAGCTGACAGCGGTTCGAAGTGTCATCCCTCAGCTTTTTCCGAAACAAGTCCGGTCGTGCTGTAATTTGCATCGCCAGAATATAAACACTATCAACAAACTTGATAAAAGAAAACCTAACCAATAAAAGTATATTTTCGCAACTGAAGACATAGTAAACTGTATTCACTTGCTTGTTTACGTCTCCATGGTGAATTTTAAAAGCCGCGGCTGTAACTCATAATACCATACCCATTTTTTTTAAAAAAAGGATAGTGGTAGATACAGGTAAAAGTTAAATATGGTCTGAGAGACCAATRATGTTTCGTATTAACAGAATKGCTGATACGTCATTCCATACTTAGTAGAAGTTGAAAGTCTTCCCGTGCTAACTCTCAGACGAAAGTCAGGTGACTTCGAACTCCGAGAACCACACGTGTATGAATCGGTCACCGTGATGCCGGATTTTGCCGACATTCGGCGTTGTGGATTCTTTATGCTAGATTATTATCCAAAATACAAATATCCAAAATTCAAAGAACAAGTTCTCCAAAGCTTTATTTGGAACATTTCAAACTCTAGCTGTGACAATTAAGATTAAAACGTAATAAAGTTGTCTCACTGAGTGATCAAGTGTTCTAGAAATATCGCGTTCGTGATTGAAAAAGCCATACAAATGTCGTTTTATAAACAGTTATAGTAACCGTTAATCAGTTATCAAATATAAGGAATTAAAGAGAATTGGGTTTATTTATCGTCTAAATAGAGAAACATATGTTTCTTTTCTCATCCAGTGTAGTGCTCGTACAAAACCAAGTTGTTGAGTCGTCGTTTTTAACAGTGTCGCGTTCGAGTTCGTTGAAATTTTTTCCATAAATATTGATTTAAAAGCCATAAGATTTCATCGAAAGTGATATATATTATTAGAGTAGATTGATATATCTTTCGTATCTTTCTTTGAGGCGTTMTATTTTCTGTGCGAAATGACTATCCATCGATATGAGAATTGTGCGAACGGTCCGAAACTTCGGGCGAAACGACTTGTGCAAACGGTCTCTTGTGCGAAATCGCCTTGGTTAATGGATAGCTTCAACACAAAATTATGAAAAGATTTAAAGCAAATTGATACCTTTGATTTTGTAAATTGAGCTCCAAGTCAAGCAAAAGGCAAAACTTTATATTATTTTTCGCAGCCCAACTATGAAACATTTCCATATATAATAGATTTGCGTGAATTCTCATGTATTAGAGAGATAGAGAAGGAACCAGTGCACGCTTTTATCTTGTACGCTAGCACACGCTCTTGGGTTCCTTGTGTCATTATGTCATGGTCGCGCAACACATGCTATCAAGCTTGTCTGAGACAAGTATGAAATTCCGTTCACGTGATGGATCAATATGTGCCCCCTGTTTCTGAGCACGGGAAACCGAGCGCACAAGAAATAGTTGAACATTGTCCGAACGTAACACGGAGAACTGCGATCAGCTGTTTCTGTGTGAGCTTCAAACTATTTTTTTTATTTTGAATGTAAAAGAATTAAAAAACTGAATGTTTTTTAGTAGATAAGTAAATATAGTATATATTTATTTACTTATCTTACTATTTCAGTTAAGGACACTTGTCTTCTTGTCTGAAGAGTTTATTAGTAACTTACAATAGTTTACATGTGGATGCAATTTCGTCTATAAAATATACTTTCAAATTCACGGTCAAAACATATTTACTTCAAAAATTATATACCAAATATTAATGGTAATATTAATGGTAATAAAATGAAAGAACAACAAGAAAAACAAGAACAACTTCAGTCAAGCTCCCTCATTCAAAGCAAGACTATGCAAAAAGATCATCACAAAAATGACATCAAAAACTGCCTTTTTTCTTATTCAGAGCTATTTCCTGATCAGAATTAAAAAATTAATCATTTGAAAGTACCTGAAATTGGCTTGAGCTTCAAGGAAATGTTAAATGAGCCTAATGATTCGTTTTTGCTCTCTTTGTTTTTCCTCATGAATGCCTTTAGGTTAGAAAACTCGTTGAAAAGATAGTTTGGCTCTTTCATTCAACCGAAGGACCAGCCGATGGACAAGAATTAAAACAGAAATGTTCTTTCTCATAAAAGTTTCAGCAAGAAGCCACAACTTCAAACCAAATTTCAAAAAAATTAGCATATAACCATAATATAACAGCTATAATGGAGGATTACATGATTATATAAAGTTAGAGATTGAACAAAAATTTTATTTAAAAAAAGGCACATTTCCTTATCATACAGATTGATGCTGACCTAAAATTCAGATTCAATGTATTGGTATTAAGAGGATGTGCACACTTTTAATACATTGCATTATTACTACTACTATGACTTCAAAAACTCATACATAATTAATTGAGTTATAATTCAATGTGGGATGACAAGAATGCTTTGTAAAGTGATTTGTGCATGATCAGTTTCCCCTATTTACCTCAGAACATATTTGTACACCAATGTTTCCAAGAATTTTAACGGATTTGAGTTTCAAATTAGTGTTGGAGTTTTTGAAGCCGTTTAAAACACTCGAGTTGTGTTTTATCAGGTATAAAGATTAAAACACTCGCCTTCGGCTTGAATCTTTATACCTGATAAAACACTCTCTCTCGTGTTTTTAACTAGTATACATTAACTGAATGAATGTAAGGCAAAATTAATGCTTTATAGCATGTGAACTGAATTTTAGTGGTTATTAAAGATAATTAACAAGTAAATAGAGTCATTTGCTGCAAAAGCATGCATGTTGGAACTAAATTAAATATTATTATTGTTCTTCTTGATTAGGTAATGCATTCTGGAGTGTCCAAAAGGTATTKAGGGCTTTCCACATCGACAATTMTAGTGACTGGAAGCCTATGGTTTGGGATTCGATCAAGRAAGACTACATGGCATATGGAGGACATGATGACTCATCCCAGAAAGACAACAACCCTGGCAATGATACAAACAACACAGCAGGTGCACTTGAAGCAAAGATAAACAAAGTGCTAGAGCTTCTGGATAAAGGTGAAGAAAAGAAAACACTTCAAGAAACCTTTAAGTGCACGGTGTGTCTAGAGCCATCAAGCAACCTGATGACCTTTTGTACATCTTCAAWAGGGTGTGGTAGATTTCTGGGTTGCTTCACATGTTTATATGGAATCCCAAAGTGCCCKTTGTGTAGAGCTCGCCTCCCATTAAAACTTGATGCAAGACCTTTCCTGATACCTGGGCTTTCACCRTTARTAGGTGTAACAGAAATTACWGTTGCATCAGCAATGACACAGCTCAAAGATYTAAGTGATAGAGATGCCACCAATGATGATGGGGATGATGATGACGAAACKCTCCTTATGCAGCCAGTGTTTGAGTAAAATACTGAAAGTTTAGTTTTAACTTTTGTTAATATTTGACTTTATCTGATCATTGGTTTGTGTTTTTCTATTATTGTACTCTGAGGCTACTTTTATAGAAGAACTTAAAGGAAATGATTGCTTGAATCCTATTAGTGTTTAGCTAAAAAAGTGTGCTACAGTATTTATAAACTTTATATCAAGTTAGTATAGTTTATGGGCATGTATTGAGCTATTAGAACGATTTCACATACTGTAGTGTTTTTATATGGTATTATGGATGTTAATCCTTTTTTTCTTTTTGATCAGTTTTAAGTGTATTTAGTATTTTTAGCAATTACATTTTGTTGTCAAACTTTTTTTATTTTTTTTACTTTCTTTTCTTCATGGAACCCAGGTTGTGCTCCTCTTCTGCTTACATATTGTTCTTCCTGTAGAAAAGGACAAAAACTGGCTGTTTGGCTTTATCTCAAARATCAAAGAATCCATATTGACGAATAATGAGCTCATCAGCATACCGACATTTTCCTCATCATAATGAAAAACATGTTTTGTGAAGTCGTTCCAATGTGCTTTTTTTTGTGCTTTTTTCCCAAGTGTATAAGGTTCATTTTCGCATCTAAAATTTTTGCCCATCTATTATAAACTTTCTAGTTCAAAAAAGCTAATCAATGTCTGTTTGAACTGGCAGAAACCTATTTTGTGTGAAGGCAATAAATASTCTGTAGTGAAAGCTTGGAAATATTTGATAAACAACCGAAGTAAAGCAAGTGGAAAAAGTGMCAACTTTTTATATAGCAGACTCAAACGTTTAATTTTTTGCAGTGCTTTGTCAATCAGTGMCATGTTTGAAAGTATAGCACTTTGAAAGTACAGTCATCATTTAGATGAAATTCTAGATGAGTTTGCATAATATTATCCAAGATAGCTATTTTAATTCAAACGTGTTAATGTTGCATTGTTAAAGTAACTTAATATGGATTTWAATAATATACATTATACCTAAGTTTCTTAGATTGTTTGAACTCAAAAATGCTGACTACACTTGTGTTAGTCCATTTGTTACTTATGCTTGTTTTATCATTACATGGAATTTAACATAAAAATACATATAATAAAAATGTTTATATTTAAAAATCATAGCAGTCATTTTTTGTAACTATTGTTTTGTCAAATTGATTGTAAACAGTTATTGCTTACACACAGCAACCAGGTTGCAGCCTTTACTGTGAATATCCCACAAAAAAATGTGTTGCCCTCTGATACTTTTGGGGTTTCAATGTGACATAATGTCATGTCGTGACAATCAAAAAACATCTCATTTTGATGTCATAAATAGAAAGAGCAAGTCCAAGTTAGTAACCATTAAGAGATTTCAGGCTTCTATGTGTAGCTAAAAAACTGAAAGTTATTAAAAAAGTATAATTTTTTTATAAAAAGCATTTTGCAAATTTGTCAGCGGTTACTAACCTGGGCTTGTTCTTTCTATTTACTGTATCACAGGGAAAGTTGCAATGAGACGATTTTTCATGGACATGTTAGCCATGATGTCATATTGAAATGTAGCTATAAGACAGTGTGAATATTTTAATATTTAAAACTTTTGGTAAGCAAAAAAGGTACAATCACATGTTGTTGCTAGTTCCTCGAACTAAATGTGATATTCAAATATAATACCCTCAATAGAATAGGGCTGCTCGACCTTGCTTATTGGCAATACTGAGTGGAACTACTCAGGCTACTGTAACTCAAGTAAACACTAAAAATTATTTCAACACTTAGCATATACATTATACATCTACAAAAAACTTTCAAGGTAGCGTGTGATCTGTATGAAAGCAACAATGGCATTTTTCAGACTTACAAAGCTTCCATGCACTGTTTCAGCAAATATAGCCTGTCCTGAGGGCTGTGAACTGAAAAAAAGCTTTTCACGAGATTCAAGAAGGTCAGTTCGAGCAACAATGGGGTCAACACCAAATGAGGAATCACGTGTTAGATGCCCACCCATCTCTTCATACATCTGTACTACCTCAGAAACTGTTGGAATTAGCTCAGGTGCTAACTGTACCGTATGTGAAGTCTGTTCTTTGTTTTCGATAGGGACACKACCATTTGGTCCAGGGATTCGATGATAATTCCATGAATCAATCAAGTGCTCAAGTGCATCCTTTGCAACCAACATGGTCACCCATGAAACACAYAATTTAACAAGTGGACAAGTAAAATCTAAATCATCTTGAGCTTCAATCACACAAAGTTGTCTTTTTATAGGGTAATTAATCCTTCMGTTCACCTCAGGCCACATGCGTTCAGCTACATAGTTACTGGTAGACGCAGTCTTTTTCCATGGGTCTCGTCTTTGATCATATCGGTATCCTTTCAGTAATTCTTGCACAAAGACACACAGACAGAATTCTGTTCCATGATCCATTCGTATTTGGTCAAATAATCCATATCTTAGTAATGCAGGCCTAAACAAGTACTCGTATATAAGAATAGGATTCTTTATAGGCATAGTAACAGAGGCTACTATAAACCTTGAGCATCCATCAGTAAAGCATACATGTGTCATGCCGAAATTTTGAGCTACTTTTTCGTTTTGGTCTAGATGCCCTTTGTAACCAAAGTATGGTGCATAATATGGAATGGGATTTGTCCTTTGCAATGTGTCCCGTGTTCTTGCATCAAAGGCTAGTGGAGCAACTCTTTTTAACGACCTTGAAATTCGTTTTTGGCTCACAGCTCCTCCTGTTATACCAAGCATTGATCTAACGCTTCCTTGCATCATTCTTCGGCC